ATGGGCACACTTAAGTTTGGGGTGGCATCGTTAGGGGAGCCCTCCGGCTCTTCTCCGCCTCCTCCCCCCGCTCCCCCCGCACCGACCCTGAAGCTATGGCCCATTCTCTCGTCCTGGCACCTGTCCGAGGTGCCCTTCCCTTCTGCCGCGCCCCGCTGCCACCCTCCGCCCTTCACCCTTCACCTGTTCCCTAGCCCCTGGCCCCCGCGCCGGCAGGCGGTGGCCTGGCCGGCAGAGGGCCCTGTTGGTCCAGAAATGTGGCACCGCCAGGGCGGGGAGAGGCCGACTGGGCGAGGAGCCCTGCAGGTGTATCCTGTTCTCAAAGAAAATAAAATATTTTCATGGGAAACTTTTCCTTTGTGTCCCCCGCTCCCCCCTTCTCCTTCTGTTCCTTTCTCCTGGGTTGTCTTTCGGGGTCAGCTCCGTGTCTTATCTGGAGCCCCCACCCCAAGGCCCTCTCCTGGCTGCTGGTGGGTCTGGCCCTGTCTGGGGCCCAGGCTGTGTGGAGGCTGGCACACCCCTGCGCGCCATCTGTGCAGCCTTCACCTCGCCCTCATGGGCAGAGGGAGGGTCAGAGGATGGCCGTCTGGCCGCAGGTCCACGGGTGAGTCACACTGGCCTGTCAGCCAGCTGTGCCTTCTTGCTGTCCTGGCCCAGCCACAGGTCTGTTCCCCAGGCTCCAGACACACCCCGGGCTTGTCTGCTCTGGCTTGTCTGCCCCAGCTGTGCTTTGCCTAGGCTCTGCTGTGCCCACTCCTCCTGGGGAAGATCAGTCAGGGGGAGGTTAGGGTCTTGGCTCCCAGCTGCCCCCTCCCCCCCAGCATCCCTCTTTCCGATTTCCCTGCACTCTGCCTCTGAGGAAGTCTTTGAGCTGTTAGTGTGTGTATTTTAGCTCCCTCTCAGAGAAAAGTCCTGGTGGACATGTAGCATGTGGGGAAAGCTTGGCACACCATGGGTCCTCCGGCCAGCTGACTTTGCCCTGCTTTTTGCTCCAGGAAGGGCCAGTCCTGGGAGGAGGAGAGGGGGCAACACACACACTGTTTTATGCTACTGTGTATGGAGGCTCTGCCTCTTTGGCCCACGGTGACCTGCTGGGCTGGGGTTCTAGGGTCCTTTCACCTGGCCCAGCAAAGGGGCAGAAGCCAGAGGGAGAGGGAGGAGGAGATGGCCCAAGGGAGGCAGGGTCTGTCTGGAGCCAGGGGGCCTCTCAGTGCGCTGCACAGGGCAGAGGGAGCAGGAGGAAGGACCTGATCCAGGCCCGCTTATCCCTTCCCCCTCTCCGAAATCTCTGCCTGGCACCGAGGCTCACAGTCAGGGCAGCTCCAGTTACAGCCCAGAAACCCAGAGAGGCTGGCCTGGGGGAGGGTCACGTGGGTGGTGGGAGTCCTCCCTGCCCCCTCCTTGAGGCTGCAACCCAACCCATGAGCTGCTGCCCTGCTCCTGCTGCCCTCCTCTGGCCTCTGGCCACTAGGCAGGACCTTCCAGGCCGCCCACTGGCTCTCCTCTCAGGCCTGGCTCTTCTTCTCAGGCATGATTAGCAGGTGGCATTTCCATCTGGTTCTCCAGGGGCTTTGGAGATGCCTGTGCTGGGGGGCCTAGACCTCTTGGCCAGATGCCCTCTTGGAAAGGGGGGGGGGGCTGGCCCCCAGAAGGAGGGCTGCCCTGAGTCTCTTGGTGAATTGGGGATACACACTCATGGACCTGGGTGGGCTGGAAGCTTTGGCCTGCATTGGGGTGGAGAGCACCAGCACCTGGCCCCTTTCTTGGCCTTGTCCTCAGGTGTGTGCTGAAACCTGTTGAGGAAGGGACTCTCCAGACCCCAGGGGAAAGGCCCTTCTGTCTCCTGAGCGGGCAGCCAGGGGCCGAGTCTGGGGCTTATTGAGAACTGTGCCTGGCTCCTAGGCACTTTGCTGTCCGTTTCCCCCCGCCCACCCCAGGGAGATTGCTAGACCTGCATCATAGTGCTGCCCCAGGTGAGTGGAGGCCTGTGGCTTCTACCTTGGTTATTCTTTAAAAGAAGTAGGGAGGGGTGGCATGAGCCCTGAGGCTGTCTCAGTGTTGGTGCCCCACCCCACATTCTGCAGGAAGCATTTATAGGCTGGCTTGGGGAGGTGGGGCCCTCCTGTGAGGTCTGCAGGCTGGTCCCACATCTCTGGTTCAGGCTGCCTGGAGGCCTGCGTGGAGGAGGCAGCACCAGGCGTGGCACTGAGGACTCCCCTAGCCAGGGTGGGCATTGACATGTGAGGGGCATTGGAGCAGGTCTGAAAGGCAGTTAAGGCCCTCTGGGGGCCAACTGGGTGTGAGGCTCTTTTTGTTATTGAAATGTAACTCATATCCTGTAAATTTACCCTGTTATAGCAGTTCAGTGGTTTTTAGTTCATCCACAAGGCTATGCAGCCAGCACTCTATCTAATTCCAGAATATTTTCATCATCCCAGAAACCTCATATCCCACCGCCCCACCCCCAGCCCTGGCAACCACTAATCCACTTTCTGTCTCTGGATTTGCCTATTCTGGATGTTTCATAGAAATGGAATCATACGATATGTGGCCTTTTGTGTCTGGCTTGTTTCACTGAGCATATCATTTTCAATATTCATCCATGTTATAGTGTGTGTTAGTGCTTTGTTCCTTTCTGTGACTGAAAATATTCCACTGGATGGACACATGCAGTTTTTCTCCATCCGTTCAGTTGATATTGGGACTGTTCCCACCTTTTGGCTATTGTGGGCAATGCTGCTGTGAACATTGTGTACAAGTTTTTTTGTGGACGTATGTTTTTAATTCTTCTGGGTATACACTAAAGTGGAATTGTTGGGTCACATGATAAGTCTATATTTAATATTTTGAGGAACCACCAAACTGTTTTTCACAGTGGGAGCACCGTGTCACATTCCCACTTGCAGTGAACAAAGCCTCCAGTTTCCTCACATCCTCATCAATGATTGTTATTCTCTGGTTTTATAATTTTTAATTATTTTTATTCTAGCCATCCTGGTGGGTGTGACTGCTTTCTTGCTGTGGTTTTTATTTGCACATCCCTGGTGAAGAGTTCATGGGCTTGTTGGACATCTGTGTGTCTTCTTTGGAGAAATGTCTATTCCGTTCCTTTGCCCAATTTTTGGTTGAGTTTCTCTTTTTGTTGTTGAGTTGTAAGAGTACTTTATATATTCAGGATCTTTCTTGGACTGAGGAGAACCTGCTTTCTTTCAGCACACTGTCTGGCCCCTGCACACAGAGGCTGCCTCCACAGTTCTTCATAGCGCAGTCCCCAGCCCTGACTGCGTGGAGAGCCAGGGTGCAGGTGATTATCGGGTTACTAGAGTGGTCTGGGGGCCTGGTGGGGGCCCTGGCTGAGGAGGTTGCCCCAACACTATTCTGAGGTGGCACTCTGGAGGGGCTGCTATTATGGGGGCTGTGTATGCAAGGTCAGGAAGGTGAGGGCTCTCTCTGCTTCTCCGTGCACCTAGCCTAGGGCCCAACTGGAGGGTCCATGTGGCTGCATGCCTGCTGGCTTCTCAGAGGTGGGGTACTGAGCTGGTCCCTGGAGGGGAGAGGGAGGGCAGTTTCTTGGGACCAGAGGAGCAAACCTGGTATAGAATGATGAAGCTGCACGATGTGCCTGTGAAGGGGTGAGGAACAAGTTAGGGTGCTGCCAAGAAAATGGGACAGCTCCAGTGGGGCATAGGGGGCTGTGTGTGGCGCTGGGGGCTGAGGCTTACCTGTGGGTGACCAGGGTTGGACTGGCAGTAAGGGAGGTAACTCCGTGGCTGGGGGACAGGAATGGTGGTGCCTGGAACGAACAGTCAGGAGTTTGGATGATAGTCAGGAAGGTGCTGTCCATGGAGACACACCTCAGGACAGCCGTGCCTGGATCCAGGGTTTGGGGGAGAGGCCATGGAGAGCAGAGCACTCTGGGGAGGGGGTAATCAGGACAGAGTAGTTTTGTACCAGGAGTGGAGGGAGGGGAGGACCCATGAGAATGACCTTATCACCATGTCTAGGACTACCAAGGGGCCAGAGAGAGACTGTTGAGACCCCTTGGATGTGGCCCTGTGGGTGAGACCTCCAAAAGTCAGGCAAGGGGTATATAGGGTAGGGCTTC